GGCAATCCGGGCCAGAGCATGCACGGCTTTCCACACCTCGCCAAGGGGTTAGAGTTTTTTCCAGTAGGCCGAAGGAAGACCTCGCAAGTTTGCCAGCCCACGGGACTCTAGAACTTCAAATAGAAACTTAATTGTTGGGGCGCCTGGGTGGCTCAGTTGGTTAAGCGACTGCCTTCGGCTCAGGTCATGATCCTGGAGTCCCGGGATCGAGTCCCGCATCGGGCTCCCTGCTCGGCAGGGAGTCTGCTTCTCCCTCTGACCCTCCTCCCTCTCATACTCTCTATCTCTCATTCTCTCTCTCTCAAATAAATAAATAAAATCTTAAAAAAAAAAAAAAAGAAACTTAATTGTTTGCTATATTAAGTATCTTCTAGCACCTACAAGAGTGAACACCTGGACAAGTGAATGGTTTGAGGCAGAGATTCTTAGCCTCATGTGGAAAGGGTGGACGGTCTAGAAATGAGATAGGGCAGCCAAGCAATAGCCTCCCCTCTGCTCTGGCTCAGAGCCAGGCCTTGCTGGGGAGGGCACAGCTTGGTCTCACTGGATGGCAGAGAAGTCGCTGTGGTGCCAGGCTGGTGGAACTTGCTAGACGTCTGACCTCTAGGGTTCCAGGGCAGTCACTCCACCATGAAACAGCTTGGGGGTGACGCAGTGGGAGTAGTACCAGGAGAAGCGGCCGGCTGGCTGCCATAGCTGTAGGAGGCAGGGCCTGAGGACCCACACGCACTGTGAGAGCTGTTGCTACGGGATGGTTCTGTGCAAACCCAGTGTCACTGAGGGCTGTCAGCTGCCCCCCCCCCCAGGGAGCGCTTTTGCCCCAGGGAGCTGGGGTGGGGAGTGTAGGCCTCAGGGGCAGTCCTTGCTGGACTTCTGGGAAAATACTCCAGCTCTCCCCCCGCCCCCCAGACCTCCAGGCTGTGAATTCTGGGGGTGGGGGAAGCATTGAGGACCTTCTCCAGAGGCACCATTACACCCTAATGGTGGCTGCCTCCTTCCCTCTCTCACGTTTCCTGCTCCCTCACTCCACTTCTGGAATAACCACCGGACCCATATCCTGTCTCAGGCCCCACTGCCAGGGCAACCCAAACTAAGGCTGACTCTTCCGAAGGCTCCAGCCAGAAGTCCCCTTTCCACCCCCACTTTCTTCCCAAGCAGAGCTTCTCCACTTCAACCAAATAAACCACTTTACTCTTTTCTGCTTTACTCACTTCCTCCTGTTTCCTGTCTTGCATGTCTGAGCTCACCTTCTACAAATGTCCTTCCGCGCTCCCTTTATTATCCGCATTCCCTACATCCTCACAGTGGGAGCCACAGGAAGCGGTCCACGATGCAGCTTCCCTCCCATGGCCCCTCCTGTGTTCCGCATCACTACTTCTATGTTATTCATCCCACAGCATTACTCTCAATGTTCCTGCATCATGTTTTCCATGGACACAAAACTGGGTGGAGAAAAGAGGCGAGTTTTCTTTACTCTTCCTCCTGAAAATTTCACTTCTGGCAAGTTGCTGCAATTGACAAAACAAAAACAATAACAAAACCCCCAAACCAAACAACAACAACAACAACAATAACAACAACAACACCTCTTTCTACAGGCTCAGTAGCAGCAGTTAAGGGAGACTTACATTGAATAAAAATAAAGGAAGGATGCTTTTCAAAATTTCTGAAGCTTTGCCCGGAGAGAAAGGTTTGCTTTCAGTTAGGGCTGAAGGGGCTTGAGCATGCAACCTGATAACAGCCCATCAAAAGGCAGTTTCTCTGATAAACTAATCTCTACCCCCTCTCTCTCCTCACCCTCAAAGGCTCCCCTTATTTTTGTTATTGGCAACATAGTTGCCTCGAAGTGGGTGGGAGGGCAATTGCTGATTAATGCTTTTTATTTTTATTTGTAATTTTTTAAAAAGATCTTATTTGAGAGAGCGTGCACAGCATGAGAGAGAGGAGCGGGGAAGGGGGAGGTACAGAGGGAGAGGAAGAGACTCCCCATTAAGCCTGGAGCCCGAAGTGGGCTCGATCGCAGGACCCTGACATCATGACCTGAACCGAAGGCAGACGCTTAACTGAATGAGCCACCCAGGCGCCCCTGATTAATGCTTTTAAAACACTTAATAAATATTTACTGAGCACGTACTTTCTAGAGCTCCTTGTGCAAGGATCTAGGGAAGAAGTAAGATTAATGACATTCGGCACCAGGCTCTCCTTCAGGAACCACTCACCACTGGTAGCCATCAAAGGTTTCCCTGGGTCTTCCCGATGGCTGGCTGGCTCTCGGCTCTCAAGTACCTTGGCCGCTGCCCTCAGCCCCCTCTGCCCTAACTGAGGGCACGGCACTCTTCTCTCCTGGCACCTGGTCTGACCCTCACTCTCCTTCACCCTGCACCTGGACGCTGCTCACATCTGGCCCTCCACCTCCCACCCCCACCTCCCGCTGCCTGTGGGCTATTTCCACTGGAAAGTGCCATCATTACTTCAGAGCCTTCCACAGCTCTCATAGAAAATCATCCTTATTTCTGGTGCTCCAAGCCACGGGCCAAAGTCTGTATCAGCTTTGTCTTTGCCTTTTGCAATCCCTCCCTGCACACACCTGGTTCCCAAGTCTCGTGGCTTCTTTTTGGAAATTTCTTTCTTTCCTGTCCCACCCTGCGTCAAAGCCTCCTCATAGCTTTGCTGGTTCCTAGGCTGCAAGTTTCGGCCATTCCTGGTCTCTAGGGCCTTTTAAAAATGCCTTCCCTCCTTAAGATGCAAGTTCTCTTCTAACCATTTTGCAGTGTCCAAGTACTGTTGGTTAACTTGAGCCCCCTCACTGCAGTATTTCATGCTTTTTCAAAGGCATCTGTCTGGCCCCATTCCCCTTTCTAGTATGCCTACAACATAATGATTCAATATTTGTATTGTGAGAGGATCACCACAATAAGTCTAGTTAACATCCAGTTACAAAGATTTGTGTGTGTGTGTGATGAGAACTTTTAAGATTTACTCTTTTATTTTATTTTAAAGATTTTATTTATTTATTTGAGAGAGAGAGCACAAACAGGGGGAGGGGGAGAGGGAGAGGGAGAAGCAGACTCCCTGCTGAGCAGGGAGCCTGGTGCTATGCGGGGGGCCTAATCCTAGGACCCCTGGGATCATGACCTGAGCAGAAAGGCAGACACTTAACCGATTAACCAACTGAGCCACCCAGGTGTCCCAAGATTTACTCTTTCAGCAACTCTCAAATATGCAATACAGTATTATATATAGTCACCATGACTTATTTATGTAATAACTGGATGTTTGAATCCTTTCAACCATTTGCCACCCCACCTTCCACTCCCCACCCCCCATCTCTGGCAACCATCAATCTGTTCTCTGTGTCCATGAGCTCCTTTTAAATTTTTTTAGATTCCACGTATAAGTGAGATCATATGGTAGTGTCTTTCTCTGACTTACCTCACTTAGCATAATACCCTCAAGGTCCATCCATGTTATCACAAATGGCAAGATTTCCATCTTTTTTAATGGCTAAAATAAAATTTGTATATATATCATTTATTCATACACACATTTGTGTATGTTACATATTCATCACATTTTCTTTATCCATTCATCCACCGATGGACACTTAGGTTGTTTTCATATCTTGGCTATTATAGATAATGCTGCAATGAACATGGGGGGGTGCATATATCTTTTTGAGTTAGTGTTTTCATTTTCTTCAGATAAATACCCAAAAGAGGAATTGCTGGATGATATGGTAGTTTTATTTATAATTTTTTGAAGAACTGCCATATTGTTTTTTAATATGGTTGTACTAATTAACATTCCCAACAATGCACAAGGGTTCCCTTTTGTCTACATCCATACCAACAGTTATTTCTTACCTTTTGGAGAACAGCCATTCTAACAGGTGTGAGGTGATATCTCATTGTGGTTTTGATTTGCATTTCCCTGATGTCCTTTGCATAGTGATGTTTACAACTTTTCATGTATCTGTTTGCCATCTGTATGTCTTCTTTGGAAAAATGTCTATTCAAATCCTCTGCTCATTTTTAAATCAGCTTGTCTGGGTTTTTTTTGTTACTGAGTTGTAGGAGTTCTTATATATTTTTGGATATTAATCCCTTGTCAGATATATAATTGGCAAATATTTTCTTCCATTCACTATTACTTTTTAAAGCCTTTTTTTTTTTTAAAGATTTTTATTTATTTATTTATTTGAAAGAGAGAGAATGAGAGACAGAGAGCATGAGAGGGAGGAGGGTCAGAGGGAGAAGCAGACTCCCTGCTGAGCAGGGAGCCTGACGTGGGCCTCGATTCCCGGGACTCCAGGATCATGACCTGAGCCGAAAGCAGCCGCCCAACCAACTGAGCCACCCAGGTGCCCCTAAAGCCTTTTTATATTGTTACTTGAAATTACTGAATTTTCAAGTGTCTACTTCATTCAGTATGTCCGCAACCACTGACTTACCAATTACAGGTCGCCTGATATTTCCACGTTTTCTCAGGCAACCTTCACAACCTGGTGGGGTAGGTATCCTGTTCCTCATTTCATACTTGGTCTCAAGCTCTCCCAGCTGGCCAGGGGCGTCCTGCAGTTTCCCCTGGACTGGGCCTAAACTAGATGCTAGAAATCTGCTTTCCAATCCCCGTCCCACTACTATCAGCTGTGCGACCTGGGGCACCCCACTCCCCTGCCTCCCTAGCAGGGACAGACTTTTATTTTTGTTAGACTGGAAGTGGCCTCTATCATCTGACACCCCTCCACCAGGGTCTAGACATAGTAGGTGCTCAATAAATATTTGTTGAGTTGATTGCAGTGGAAGAAAAGTTACACTTTAAGTTTCTGCCCAGTTGGGGTTAAAAGGGCTGCAGGGAGGGGTAAAGCGAAAACTGGGCTCAAGGGCCGCGGGGTGGGGGGGGGGGGGGGCGAAACCGGGAATTTGGAAAGTTGGCGGCTTGCAGGAGAAAGACACCCAGCGATGGTGGAGGGGAGGTGGGAGGACATTCCGATCCCGGGCAGGGCGAGGACAAAGCGTGGTAAGAGAGGAGCGTGGGGCGTGAAGTGCGGTGGGAAGAGGTGCCGGCGCCGGGCGGCGCGTGCGGCCCAAGCCCCAGTCGGGGTGCGGAGGGGAGCAGCTGGCGCGCGGGGCGGAGGCGGGGAGCGAGGGGGCG